TTGAGAATCCATACAGAATCACAAAACATAATTTTGCAACACTCAAGTGCATCAATATTTTTTACACCCCTACACACACCTCATGTAATGTGATAGATATTTCACTCTGAACCAAAGTGATAGACCCACAGACCAACATGGCCGTCCCTAGAGCCACAGCACTATGCCTGCTTTTCTCTTTTCTGTATAATCACATATGATATGACAGATTCGCACCGGCTTTTGACTGTTGTTCAGATAGAAAAAAGGATTTGAGACACCACCTTGAGCTCTGAGAAATTGTAAAGGATATTTATTGCCATTATCTAACTTTATCTAGACTAAACAATGAATCCAAAACATAACCGTCATATTAAATGATTATTAATCTACTAGTTATTTGCTGCCTTAATAGGGACATCTTTATGAATTGATCACAGAGAGTGTAATAATCACACAATCTATATCGCTGTGTGGGTGTTGTGCGTGTGCGTGACTGCAATAGAAGACAGGACATTAAGGTTAAATAGAGCACAGTAAAAACAACATGTGGTCAAGTCGTATGTATGGGAACCCGGTTCAACAGAAAATGTGGTGAGCATTCACAGTAACTCATCTGCACAGTCTGCCTATAAGCCCCTGCCCTTGTGGCAAGTATAGCTGCAGATGCTCTTTTACGCCTCAAACCTTTGAAGTCCCATGTGCGCTCGAGAACACATACACACAAACACAGACACAATCAAACACACACGCCACACAGAATGAAACAAGTAAAAGGTTGACTTGAAAAGGTCATCATGTCAGCGAGCTAACCACCATTTCAGCTGACAAACGTCAGAGATGCATTTACTGGAGATAGGAGGACCTCTAAAACCAAAAACAGGCGGTTGGAGCCTTGAGTCAGGCATCAACGATCAAAGGGCCGAGTGGGGGTTTCACACGGTTCAGTGATAACTTGAGGGGAGGCTCACAAACATGCAAAAACTCAGACATCCATGCACACACACACACATCCACGGCTAGATGTATATTATGAATGTAGAGTGCGTATGTGGAGCGACTCAATCACCAGAGGAGCTCAGAGTAGTAGCATGTCCTGTGGCTTCATTACAATCAGTGAGACGGTTTATCCACTCCCTGTGCTGTGCAGGGGTCATGCTTAAGCCAGCTAAAGTGGTTTAAAGCGGGCTAAAGATGTTGATTTGAACTGCAGGAGGTGCTCAGTGCTGCTCTGACTCAAACAACTACCCTCCCCAGGTGTGTGCTGCTGACGCCTCTGGCTAATGCTGTTCCCTCAGTCTATAAAGCACACACATGAAGATAAAATGCACACATACAGACACACATTAGACATGAATACTGATGAGGGTAAGTGCACACAAGTATATGCATTGGCAAAGATATACCACATATGAACAAAAGCACAAACGTACGCTGTCCAGTAAAAACAACATGGCTCAAAATTTGAATGAAAGTTTAGGGAATTGTTTACTATTTTGGAAAATTTGCTGAGAGTTCGATGAGAAGATTGATACCACTCTTGTATGTGTTGATTAGATATGGCACTGGAGTCAGAAGGTGTGCTTTGCATAAAGACTGGAAACAGGGAAACAGCTACTTTGGCTCTCTCTACACTTCTGTTTTTGTGCAAATCATACAAACAAGTTGTAGGGGGGCTGGCATGCAGATTTGCTATGGACAGAGGCAGGCTAGCTGTTTCCCCCTGCTTTCAATCTTTGTGCTAAGCTACGCTACGCTAACCTTCTCCTGGGTGCCATGCAATTGTCCCAACTACTCCTTATTCCAAAAAATATCTCATTGGACCAAAAGTCCATTTGTTTAACAGCTCATTATCCCAAAAAACAAATGCCTATTGTTTTGAAAATACACACTGTCCATGTAGTTAGACAAATTCATTTAACTAGCTGGGCGCGATATTTTTTTTTTTCTACTATGGTGAAGTTAAGACCTGCCCTACTCTGCCTCTGACTGGCTTACCCTGATATTCTTACCCTCACTCCTCTGGCCTAAACCTAACCAACCCAACCAACGAAGGCAACGACTACCAGCCAATCAGAGGCAGAGTAGCACAGGTCATTTTTTCGTCATCGCACAAAAAGAAATTGCCCCTCAGGAAGGTCCGCTAATCTTTTTGGGAAGCAAATTTGTGTTTACAAGGATAGCAAAGGCATGATCCGCTCCACTCTCCCTGTGATTGGCTACTACTTGTCTTTGTTGGATTAGTTAGGTTCAAACAAGAGGAGTGGGACGGGTTAGGGTTAGGGAAAGAATGTCAGGGTAAGCCAATCCGAAGCAGAGTAGGGTAGAGTAGGGTGGGCCATGCCTTCGCTATCCTGTGAAATGTAAATTCGCGTTTGGGAGAGTGCAAATTTTTGGAGAAATGGGTGTTTCTTTTCAGGATAATGGGCTGTCGCACAAATGGGCTTTTGGTTCAGTGGAACATTTTCTGGAATATTAGGATTTTAGAATAATGAGCCATCGGAACACTAGACTGTCCCCGTCTCCTGACCCCAGCGTCACACTGGACAAAACTTAAAGTGGTGTCAATCTTCTCATCTAGCTATCAGCAAGCAAATTTATGTACATCCCAAAATGTTGCACCATTCCTTTAAGTTTTCAGATAACTTGGAGCATTACAGTCTCCTATAAAAGCTGAGGCAGTTCTTGTTCTATACCTCGAGGAAAACCCACTGGATTATATCACAACGCAATATTTTTCGTGGTTAATGAAAAGCTGAGATTTTGGAGATATGTGGTTTACATCGTACAGCTATGTGCCTGCATACACACACTCTCACTCTCTTTCTCTCTCTCACACACACACGGGGAGACACACACACTTAACCATGCCAACCATGTATTTCTGAGTCTTATAGTTTATGCTGGCATGAGTAATGAGGGAGCTGGAAAGCAGATATTTGTTGTGCCTAGCTCCGTTTTACTAGAAGGCAGGTCTGTGCAAGTGTGTGTGTGTGTGTGTGTGTGTGTGTGTGTGTGTGTGTGTGTGCTTGTGTGTGTGTTTGAAACTAAGAGAGAGACAAAGAGAGTGCCTGATGGTTATCTATATCAAGATGAACTTGAAACAGTCACAAACTGAGTGGGCAAACTGATTCTGCATCTCCTTCACGCGCATGAGAGCGAGACAGAATAAATGAGAGGACAGCGGACGGCACAAAGTACATACTAATGAAAGACAATTAAGGGTACTCTCATTAACTCAGCCGCAGCCAACGGGAGCCATACACACACACACACATATACACACACACTGGATGTGAATCCCATGACTCCTGTGAAAAGTGGTCTGGAATGTCATGTTTCCTGTTTATCTGCCCACATACCAGACTCCTATTGTGTGGAATCCTGGGTTTAGCTGCAGGGGTAGTTTGGGAAACAGCAGAGCAGAACACACTGTTGTGTCGACAGGTGGATTCATAACTCCTGAGCTCCATCTATCTCAAGCCTCAGGTGTTTAGAATTCATAACACAAACACGTTTATGGTGAGAGCACAAACGTACATGCAGCGCTGTGTGGGATGGTTCGTTGATCGCTGAACGTTCTCAGCATCAAATGTGCCCACTGAACATGAATGAGTCAAATCATGCCATGAATGCATGCTTCAATACACGGGACGCACGTGCATTGTTTTCATCCCACGCTGTCCTGCATTACTACTCTTTGGATTGCAGGTGATATGTTCTGGATGCAGAGCCAAGACTTTATCAAACACCATTTCTGACCCGGCATGAGACGCCAGAACTTCACTGAGGCAAGCAGTGATTTTAAATCCTCTGTGTCAGGCTGGCTGCACTGTCGTAACAGACAGAAGAAAGGCAAGAGCAGGCCTGTGTGTGGGCAAGGAGGTGAGAAACATTTGTGTGTGTGTGTGTGTGTGTGTGTGTGCGCAGAGGGAGAAAGTTACGTGTCATCACCAACTGCTCATGACTTAATAGCAATATTGCAACATGAACCTTGCGAGGAAATTGGCCAACTGGCCGGCTTCCTGTCTTGCACAGTGGGAGCCAATCAGAAACAGATCATGAAGCCATGTTCGTATAATCATGTCTTTGCAGGCAGCAGCTCTGGAGACAAGCTGCGACTAGAGATCAATTTAAGACCTCCCACATGCTGAGAGGGCCGAAGTCATAAAAGGACAAAAGCAGTACATGATGTATTGAATGATTTCTCTTGATATGACAGTGCTTTAAATGTGTCAAAATCCAACACAGACTGTTAAATGTTTTACATGTCAACGTCTTTATACAAATAAACTAGACGTCTGTTTAAACGTGAGCTCAGATCAGTGTAGGCAGTAGGGCTAATTGGACAGGGGTAGTCAACTGTGAGCCACCGAAGGCGGAGTGAATGCAATTTCTCATTCTAATCAAAGACTACAGCAGGTGCTTTCGCTTATTAGTTCCTCCTCCTCCTCCTCTCTGGCTGATGGAGTGCTAATAAGTGACATTGCCTGCTGACTGTAGTCTGTCGCTAGAACACAGCCTGGCCTGCACATATCGACCCTACAGTGTCTGACAGACACACGACTGAAAAGCTCTGAGATTGAATGTTTTTGTGCTGATTTGGAGTTCTGTGTGGTCTTAAGTCGAGACTTGGAATTTACAGGTGCTCGCTGCCATCCTCAATGTGACAGGATGTGCACAAAATACTTCTATTCATCTATCAAAATGTGCAGGTAGATTATATCCAGCAGTGTCGGGTAAAGCTGTGTGTGAAGTCATCTCAGTGGTGATTTAATAGTGACTTTATAGCATTTTCTACATACCATGGCACCAGCATTACACACATGCAGGCTTGTAGTGTTTGTGCACAATTCAAGCAACCATATCCTACTTTATCATGATCTATGGAATCATTAATCGTTTTTTTAGGTCTGCTCTGGACTTGCAACAGTTTGCCTACATGCTTTAGTGTGTGAGTGTTTCCTCTTGTGTTTCAAAGCAAGATGAGCTGTGCTCTCCTGATGAAGATGATGGCCTACCTTGATCAGACTGCTGCGTCGAGGGATTGCTTTGGAGGATGGATCTGAACCCGCGCTCTCCCACGTCGGTGACTCGCAGCTGGATTCCTTTTGGACCCTCTTGACGGTGTCTGACACGCTGCAGTTTCCGTTTGACACCGGCTCTCCCCGGTGCGTCTCCAGGCTCGTTCCGGCTCCTCCTGACGCAGCTTTCCAGCCAGCAACCGGTGGACCGACGGCGCTCTTGTTCTCTCCAAAATCAGCCATTGGTGCCACTTTTTTGGGGGGGTGGTGGAGAGGTGAGGGGGGAGATTTCTCAGATCTCCTGGAAGCGGCGGAGCTCCGAACGCAACAGCGCTGCACGCGGATGCAGGCGTGCCATCGCGTGAAAGTGAACGATCTGTGACCGTGCGCCAAGAGCGGAGGAAACTTCTCTCTCTATCTGTGTCGCTCCCTCCCCCAGGGTGACAGGAGGAGAGACAGCTGAGCGACAGCAGTGCACCTTCCAGACCTCCGCCGCCGACAATCAACACCTCTCTGCGCGGTAGCTAGATGTGCGCTTGCGTTCAGGAAATGCACATGCTACACGGAGGCTGTCTGCTCCTCCTTCGCCGCCGCCTCAATCTAAACCCTGTTCTTCACACTGTGCCACACACCAACGCACACCATAATGATTTAAACATTTAGATCATCGGCTCCTTCTGTCGCCCCCCGCCCCCCTCTGTCCCTCTCCAGTCATCGTCAGCAGCCACTGGGTTTATGAGTGCAGCAGCAGCAGGCTAATAAAGTCGTCATCTGTCACCAGTCTGTCAGATGGGTGGGTGGTTTGTGTTTTTCTGTTCCTCCAGCAACCAAGAGGGGCTTTCTGTTTATTTGTTTGTGCTACTTTCTATTAAGTCTGCAGTTATGGGTGTCTATAGGTAATTATTAAAGGATTGTGATCATCAGATCTGTAGTTACAAATGTTAGTAAGTGATTAATGAAGGGTTTTAATCATAATATCTGCAGTTATGGATGTTAATAAGCAATTCATAAAGGCTTTACACTCTCAAGTCTGAAGTCATGAATGTTAGGAAGTCATTAATATAAGGTCTTTAGTTATAAATAGGTTTTAATTGTCAGGTTTGCAGTTATGAATGTTAGTAAGGCATTAATGAAGGGTTTTGATGAGTAAGTCTATAGATGTTAATGAGTCAGTAATAAAGGTCAAGAATTTTAATGATTAAATCTGCAGTTATGAATGTTAAGTTATTAATGAAGGGTTTTAATGATTAAGTCTACAGTTATGGATGTTAATAAATCATTTATAGAGGGATTTCTTGCTAACATTTACATTTATAAATGATAATAGGTCATTTATAGAGAGCTTTAATGATTAAGTCTACAGTTATGGATGTTAATAAATTGTTTATAGAGGGGTTTCTTGCTAAAGTTTACGGTTATAAATGGTAATAGGTTATTTATAGAGGGGTTTCATGATTAAGTCTACAGTTATGGGTGTTAATAAATCATTTATACAGGGTTTTAGTCACAAAGTTTGCAATTAAACATGTTAAAAAGCTGTTAATAAAGGGATCTTGGTAAAGATAGTATTCAAGCCTTTTCTAGAAATAAACTATCCGTGGGGTGGAGGCGGTGAAGGGTGGTCCCCTCACTGGCCCTTTCTGGCCAAAATTACTGGAGGCCGACATTACTGTCTTTAAAAGGATGTGGCACACTTATTTTTAAGCTAGCTTAAATAGTCGTATCTAGGGAAACTATTCAACCTAAGCATCCATTGGTACCAGCTATGTCATGCTAGCTTGTTGTGAAGGGGTTAAATAACGCTCCAAATTTAGGCTAATTTTTGGTGAGGGAAAAATGTATGTGTATGTCTTGAGAAAATAAGTTATTGTCAGGCTTTTTTTGGCCATTTAGACTTGTGCTGAAATTAATATTCTTTTCTGGTAAGCCCCTTAGAGACAGTCCTTTGCATGCACAAACACCTAGCAGAATGCACTGTCAACTGCCTCTCTAAAATTCAATTGACCATCAGGTGACAGCAGCTGGTTGAATTGAATGCCAAGATGCCCTCCTCAAGGGTAAATGCCAAATATAATAAATAAGGGCACTTTTTTGTCAGAAATGCAATTTCTAGAACTTAATACACTTCTCTGTAAGAACGTATACACCGAGCAATGCATGCTGGTGCTATAGCAGACTGTTGTACACAGTCCCTGACCTGCAGTGTTTCTGTGACTCTGCAGGACAAACATCATGCTCTAAATAGCGGAAATGATTTTTCTTGTTGACACACAGTTATACCAATACTTACACAAATCAAGGTCAGTGCAATGTTCACTGACGCAAAGCCAACGTGTTGTGTGATTTATGTGATGAAAGTTGCCACCAGCAGTGTAATTCCTCAATAATAAAACACAGTCTCATATAGAGTTAATCATTTAGGAGAGCCTTATCTGAAAAGACAGGAGGTTCTTCCATTTCATCATCAGCTCCACATTAACATAATTTAGTGATTGCAATAAAAACTGTGCACCAGGGTGCCCTTACTCAGAAAAGTGAAGAAGAATTTTCTGTAATGTAATACTGAGTAAACACTCTCATAAAGTGTTGGAGGACGTGTCTGTGTTTTGCTCCTCTTGGCAGTTCTGTTTGCTCATTTTCATTAAAGGGAAATGATCCATCTAGCTTTCCAGGGGGCTCTTTCTGGAGGACATTTACACATTAGCTTAAGGAGGCCTGGAGGGACGAGATAGAGGATGACACAGTGTTTTGAGAACAGGACTAAACTGGAGCTGGAGTCAGATTGAACTTCAAGGTCGTAACTTTGGAGTGTCCTTTAGTTACAGGTGGGATGCAGGTGATGTACGAGCATGGCTTCTACTACCACTGAACAAACCACTGAAGTTAGTAGCATCTGTCGCAGGAGCTACCATCGGCTGCATTTTATAATGTATATGTTGCAGTATTTTATGCCCTGTAATCTAGGGTGGGTATCGACGCGGCAGCTGAATTCAGATGCCATATGAATTACGTTTGAACCAACAAGTGCTGACTACGGTGAAAATCCAGCAATGTCGACATTAATACAGCACCAGCCGGGCAGCACCACTCACAAGCCATCTGAGTTAAAGTTATAGGGTTGAGTATGAAACTATACCACTGGGTTTTTAATGTCAACATATTCCTTTCACAAAAGTTTAGTTGAATTAGATCCAGCATGAAAAGGCTCAGCGGTGATTAAATGTCATGTGTGATAACGTATGGCCTCTGTGCAGAGAGCAGCATTAATCCTGTGCTGAATTTCATAATTAAAATTAGGAATCTGCTGGTCAGGACAGAAAATTGTTGTCATACATCCGGCCAGACTTTGATCAGTGAATGTTGAGGCTTAATCTGGACAAAATCCACTTCAGTGTGATGGGTTAGACACGTTAAAACATCAGTGTTTCATTATCAAAGCATTATGGTCTAGTTATTTCAGAGCAATAATACTTTAGTGGTATTGTTTCTCAAAATTAAGACTGCACTTCCCATAAAGCCATACTTGCACCTGATGGCACACTGCATTAATATACATGAATGCATACAGTATATTGATTGTACATGAGACTGTGCCTCAGTGACGGTTAAGCAAGCACAGATGTGGCCACTAGTTTAGACCCCTGAGGAGTACTGGTTTGCCTTTGCTGCCATCTAGTGTTTGCTATCAGAACACACTGGTGGGTGGACCAGTGAGTTGAGAGAGTGCTATGAATGTTGACATCATTCAGTATTTTTGACATGCTGGTAGACAATGTCCCTCTGCGGGTGCTGAACGGGGCAAATGTAGATGTTTTCATGGTGAAACTTGGCCATTTCTCCCGGTTTAAGCTTAATGATGGGCAAAGAGTCAAAGAGGATCTTGGGGAGGGACTCCCCAGTTACCATGTTAGCAAAATAACAACATGGCTGAAATTCAAAGCCAATGTAGTCTATGGGGATGGTGTACTTCCTGGCAAAATTCTGAGCCACTCCAGTAAGAAATGACTGGGTGAGGTAGAAGCCAGAGAGCCAGAAGACTGTAGGTGGGCCGTTATCTATCCAGTCCTGTTGAGACAGACACCCAAGCATGTGCATAGGTAGTGGTAACTTTAAAAAATGCAATTTAATTGATTCTCTCTGTGAGTGTTGCTTTAGTTTTATCAGAATGTAATAGATTTGTTTTAAATATCAAAATTTACATTCAATCTGCATAATCAATTTTCCTGACTCTACATGTATGCTCCTGGACTTGAACTACTGAATATGTGCTTCATTCTTTTTGTAAGTCATATTCCAAATATCTTAGGGCCTGTGTGATTCATGACAACCATAATTCTTACTTGTAGGAACTGCAGCCTGGCTATGAGATCCATCACATGGCTCCCCAGTGGCTTGAGAGAGGGGTACGACTTGGCTGCCCACATAGCGGGCACCTTGCCCGAGACCATACTGTTGAAAACATTCTCAAGTTCAGCACACATAACAATCTGGCCCCTCCAAGCTTGGAGGATGTTTACCAGGCTGATGCGCACCACATGAGTGAGTCTGTGGAGAGGGTAGACAGATGTGATCAAGTGTTAATTGAGTGTCCTGCACAAACTGATCAGTTTCCAACATGAATGTTTATTACACAGCAGTGCAAGTTGTTCTTATCTGTCTTGAAACAGTATTCATAGACTCCTCATATATGACTGGGTATTTATCCATCACCATTTGCATGTCAAAGTCTGCTGACATCTTAACAGGATGTCCTCTGCAAGCTCATCCACTAATCCCTACAGTAGTATAGAGTATAAAACAACAAGTTTGCATGTAGTGTTTCCTCGGGAGAATACGCATAAGAGTGTGAAATGAAAGTCTGAGTACTTCTGAGAACAGGCAGTGCAAACCTGACTATATTTAGCCCCGCCTCCCGTCTCCCTGGGCAGAGTCAGCAGTACTCTCTCCAAGTGCTGATTGGTCTCTTGGTTATCCTCCGTGATGTCAGCGTTGCTATGAAGTCCGAACACACAAGAATCAGCACAAATTGGAAGACCGCGAATATAGTCAACATACGACTGATGCATACAAACAAACACTAAGTGCAATTTCGTACAAAATGCATCACCTGAAACAGTGGCACGTCCTGTGCTAGAAACTTGGCCATGTTGATGTCCATCAGTACTCCAGGCAATAGCACACTTCCATTCTCCTCTGGATAATTCAGCTTTCGATTCCTTGCTGCAGTCAGCACAGACTTCACAGCTCGCATACCGTAGTCATAGTGGTGTTGGGAAGACAGCTGTTTGGAGCACAAGCGGTATGTGGCCACAATCTTCTGGGCCAGACTATGAGTAACATTGGAATTTGAGATGTGTCAGGATTGATGACTGAACCGACCAGGAGCTAAGTTTAATAGAGAAAACTGTTTTGCCCAGGACATCATTCACACATACCTGTGAGATTCAATAAAGCCCAGGGAGTACGGTGAAACTTCTCCAATGAGGCCATAGTCTGGCACTATCATAGCCACAGTACGGAAAAGAGCCGACAAGACGAGATTGACAGGTATACATCCAGTATGCTCAACACTTTTCCCGTTCCCTCTTCATCATCAGATTCTGCTCTGTAGAGGGATGTTTAAGACTACAGTGCTAAAGTGTTGTACCTTTAGGTTGTCAAGGAGCTCAGCTCTGCCGGCATCTTCAGATTCTTGGCAATGGCCTGTTGTATG